CACGCCCCCAATGATTTTTAAACTGTGCAATGACCAAGTAAGTCATTTTGGTTTTTTTTCGCAATAGCGCCCGTAAAAGGAGGAGGGAGTTTGTGTCTGGCGCTGTTCGAAACACCATTATCAAGTATGCATCTGGGCTTTCAACTGTAATAATAAACGAAACTACTCGAAATAAACAACTTCAAAACAACTAGACAGAGTTTGAGACGCTTCCTTATATGCTATAAATTAGATCAACTCATTGTGTTTGTGATCAAAGGTATAGTACAGACCACGGGTTTTTCCCGCAAAACACGTGGCACCGTGAACCTCGAACTCAATGTCGGCATCCTTGATGTCAGCGATCGTGGATACCATGTAACAAGGTGTATCACATTTCCTATTACGGATCTGATAATAAATATTTTCATTTTCATTATTTGAGCAAATTAAATCAAAATCCTTTTTGAAATATTTGTTGTACTTAAATATTCGTTATTAAACTATACAGATGTTTAAACTAATTCCCTGGTTTTCTTGACTTTAGATTTTATTTTGCCCATTTAAATTATTGAATCAGATACGTGATCGTTTTTGCCGTAAGTGTGCATTCATATGTGGTTCATATCAGATGCGTGATTTTGCTAATTAATCATTAATTTTGTAAGAATTTTAAAACATATTTGAACTGTCTAGAGTTAAAAAAAACCGTATTAGAATCGCACATTAATTCTGCTCAGATAATTACTCGGCGAATCATTGATGCAGTTAGACTTACACTGAAAATCGGTAGTCAAATATGGATTAAAATATTGCAGTAAACAGGAAGATTTCTACTGAACGGATAGAGATGATAATCTGACTAATAAAACTGTGATCAACTAACAAGTGCATACAAAAAAAAAAATTGCGAAAAATTATAGACATAATAAGGTACCGTTTGTTACACTGTACTCCCATCCCCTTTCATGAAAACGATACGAATCAGCAGGTTATAAGTTCTTTAAAAGTGTGCAAAATGTTACGTTGTTGTAATTTTTTTTTTTTTAAATCATAATCTACAGGACACCTGCTTATTTGTTTCTGGAAAAGGATAATTTACAAAATAAAATGAAAATAAAAAAGACGATAATTTTTCTCAATCCTCTTTCTAAATAATTTGAAAGGTGTGTTAAAGACACGGCACCCCGGCCCTCTGGCTGTGACCCAATATTTTTTAAACAGTTGTGAACTGACCATAAGAACATTAAAAAATCACAAGAGAAATTCTTTCCGCGTAAACAGACTCTCTGGGTCACCTAGCGTCATGCGATTTTGACTGACAAGTGATGCACAAGGATTCCGTGCATGTGCAGAGAACGAATGCATTGCGCAATAGTTGTAAATAGGTTGAGTTTGAACGAAAGTTGTGGAAATTAAATAGCATCACAGACGTATTAAATGTGACTTTGGCGATGTAAATAAAACGGAGAATGAGAATACAATTTTTTTTTACAGATTAAGAAAAAAGGGGTTGCAACTCTCTCTCTCTCTCTCTCTCTCTCTCTCTCTCTCTCTCTCTCTCTCTCTCTCTCTCAACATTGTACATGTTTTCACACACTTATTTACTTATTAAAGAAAATAAAAAATTATTAAAATAATTACTTAGACTGAAATGATTTTTGAAAACAAAATGATAATTCTGAAAAGAAATGTTTTCTGTTACGAGAACAACGCCCGGAAGTCATTTTATTGATTCCGAGTTTCTGCTGCCGATTTTCGTATCTAAATTCAGAATAATTAAAGATTTGCATACGAAAAAAGAAAAAAAAAACAACAAACAAGTCTTCTATGCCCTGTAAATTATTTTTATATTCTTTTTCTTTAATTTTTTTTTCATTAATTACATGTAATTTGATTTTTGTTTACTGATATTTTTCTTCTAAGGCAGTCGTTTAAACGACAGATCTACAATTTTAAAAATAAGAACAATGTACATTTCTTATTACTAAGAATAAAAATATAAGCGCGAATAGTCATTTTTTTCTATAGATCAATCAATTAAAAAAAATAATTTATATAAGTGAACTATGTAGTATTATATAAAGAACAAGTATATATTCAGTTCTGCAAAGCTTTATTTTAAAATGAAAAAAAAAAAATTATATACATGTATATATTTTTTCTATTTAAAACGCATCCTCGGCATACGTAGAAAAATACGCACGGAAATGTTTACCTGCTATAGATCAATAAATTTACAAATGCGAAAAAGATCAGTGGGACGATGTGTATTTCCTTTCATTTTTTTCTTATTTCCTCCATCACTGCTGCAGTGTAAATTAATATTTAAAATTGAAACCGAGACATAGCATACCAGACTATGATCGACACAATAACATACATGTAATAAAACATTTAATCTTCTCTAATAAATAGATACTCATTGATACTTCAATTGATATGAATAATAAATAAATAAAATGCTTTAAAAACGGAAATAAAATTGTAAAATTAGCAGCCAATCAAGGACCAAAGCTAACAGGCTCCGCCCACTTCATTTGCAAACCGTTTCCCAAAGCGTACCGTCCACAAAGCGTACCGTTCCGTGCAAGAAGCGAACCGTAACGTCCACAAAGCGTACCGTTCCGTGCATAAAGCGAACCGTACCGTCCACAAAGCGTACCGTTCCGTGCACAAAGCGTACCGTACCGTTCACAAAGCGAACCGTTCCGTTCACAAAGCGTACCGAACCGTACCGTGCAAGTGGTGTAGTAGCTCGGTTTAGGGTCTGTAGTAAGTCAACTTGATATTGGAAAAGAGCTACAGCCACGAAGTGCCAAAATATGCCCTGTCCCAAAAATAAATGAAATTTTACTCCGTGATAGGTTAGACTTTGTGGGTTATAACACAATTTATTTTTTAGTGATATCTTTTCCAGTTTTCTTTTTATAGTCGTTTGAAAATGCTATTGTTTCGAGTAAAATCTTTATTTATAACGTCATGACTTTTGACGTTATATATACGCATGTATATTGTAACGGTATGACGTTAACGTTATTCAAATGAAGGTAATTATATCTACATTATCGGAAGGGGGATCCGCTAAAATAAACCCTACCTAAGAATTTGGGAAATTTTATCAGTTATCGTTAAGAAGTTTTGAATCATGAGATAAATACAATGTCATGTAGCTAGCTAGTTTTTGCTTTGATCAAAAAAAGTGTCAAATACTGTTATATTGTCTTGTTAAATCAAAAACAAATCAGGCACGTAGTATCCGGGGGGCCAGGGGGGGCCTGGCCCCCCCACTTTTTTTCCCCAACATTACCTTTACTATAGAAAATGTCTATTGAAAAGGTGGTTGGCCCCCCCACTTTTTACCACAGTATATACATAGCAAGGAAATATAGGTAAAAATAGGAAGTGAAAGGAAGTTTGCCTCGAAAAAAGTTGGCCACTACCCCCCTCCTCCCCCCCTCCCCCCCACCCCCACCACACACACACACGAAATAGGATTTTCGAGTTTTGGCAATTATTCTATTTTTTTATTTTTTTTTGCTTGTCAACTTTTTTTTAGGTAAGTAAAAAAAATTTTCTCAGGTTGGCCCCCCCACTTTCAAAAACGATGCTACGTGCCTGTAAATTAAAACAAATGATACATTAAGGTAAAGATCCATACCATCCTATAGAAATAACGGAACTACAGATTTTGTTGAAACTTTTCAGAATCTTAACTGAGTATTTGTCCTTTCCAGATCAGTGTAAATTTTGGGGTCAACCGGGCCTCCTTTTGAAAGGATTGTTACTAAAAATAGACATTGTCTCGTGAAATGACGGAAATGTGGAAATTAAGATATTTATTCTAGCTTTCTAAAATTAAAAGCAAAAGAATTTTTTTTAACATATGAATCATAGAGAAAAAATGCTTGTTTAAATGTTTAATTATTTTTTTAATCTGCTGATCCACCTAATATTACTTTCTAGGGCGAATTAAACATATTTAGCTCAAAATTATAAAGTTCATTAATAATAAAAATAAATTGCTGCTTGATATTCTGACTACAGATTTCTTTTTAAAATTAACACGTTATTTTCCAATATTCTCTCCCTTATATGGCATAAAAATTAAGTGGGGCAGCGGGCATCAAACAAGAAAATTTCACATTTTTAAACCAAATTTGCTGAAAAATGATAATTTGAAAAATCTTTTTAACATCTATACTTTTAGGATTTGGGTGTAAAAATCGCTTTAAATATTTGAAACTATCGATAATAGAACAGTAATAAGTATGGTTTAAATCATAAGTTGAATATTTAATGCATAGACGGCCAAAAATTCGTTTTCACTACTCACAAGCATAATAGTAATCGGGTTCAATCTTCGGAATATTCTATAAACCGTTCATGCGCATGTGTGACGTTGTGACGGAAGTGAAAGAAGAAAATACTTTCAGTTTCAACATGGGTAGTTTGGATGCGATTTAGTTGATTAAAACTTTAGAGAAGTGGCACGTTTTACTACTTTTTGTGTCTATGTAATACATTTCTCGCTATTCATAGATACAAATAAGTGGTTTGTTTGCCACATCTTTTTAACGTCTGGTTTCTGATCTTAGGAAATGCTCGGACCTGTCCAAGTAAGGTTCAACGTTGATTATCATGTTTTTATTCATATACCATACAAAATAGATCAAATTAATGTACGCGGAGATGAATATGTTCAGTGTTTCCACTTTGTAATGTTTGTTTGTTTAAAACACCGTGCTTACAGGCGATCATATCCTTGGAAGGCAGAGATCCCCTTCTCAAGCTAGGGACACTCTAGCACTGAATGATGGAGGTTTTCCGTACATAACTCAAATTCGTTTAATAAATTCAAGCTCCATAGTTGATGACTAGAATTGCATTGAGAGCATTACTAAAGCTATGTCATTTAATTGGTAAAATGTGAAGTAATTTATGTATTTTTAAAATCAATAAGGTTTTATAAATATATGAAAGAGTTCATAATTTAAAGGGTTAAGTAAGTCAAACAATAGGGTCTGTAAGTCTCGTCACGTGACTCGCGAGATTCTACGATAATTTTCACTTCCGGGTACCTGACATGAGGAACTGTGTATTTAGTTAAGCATGTTTCTGGTTTATACAAAGCTTTTGAGGAAAAGTTAAGTAGTTATACAAAGCAGAACGGTTCTCCGACTTACGATGGATGAATTGCGTGTCATAAAAGCTTGGGTGCGAGTGTCCACCAGGAAAAATTCGATCGAAGTACAGGTAAACAATCGGAGAATGTCAACTGTTTCTTGTTTATTTTGAGAGAAAATGAAGTGTTTTACTTTATACCCGAATGAAATAGATTCATAATCATCTTTCGCCTAAATTTATTAACAGATTTTTCTCGAATTCGAGGACGATATTGTTATTATCAGCTAATTATCATGATTATAGAGGAGAAGTTTTGTCAGTGTCCGATGGGTACAAACGTCATATTGTGGAGCCTGCATGCATCACTTTTGCATCGGTAAATATATTTTTTTAAATAAAGTTTTACCTGTTGTGTGTCACCTATAGGATCACCTATTTTAGATCTATTTCCCAAAGATAAGATGTTCATATAATTATATTTTGCTATTTGAAGTATTTCGCTGCATTCAACATTTAACAAAATTGAAATCACTTCAATACAATAAACATTCCTTTTTTTAGAATTTCGGGCTTTATGGACCATGGATATCAGCCTTGATAGCTCAGTGGTTAGACACCTGACTAATGATACACAGGTCCAGCACAATACCCCAATAAAGGTATATAGCTTGATAAAGCTATATAGCTTTATCAAGGTATTTAAAATACCTTGATTAAGGTATTTTATGTCATGAAAATTCAAAAAAATTCTTAAAAAATTAATTACTGAGAGTCGAGTTCTGAGTTGTTGTCAGTGAATTCACCAATGCATGTTAAACAAATCAGTATAAAAACATGTCATGTGAGGAGACGTTTTTTATGCTTTCTTTTTGATACCAGAGTGTTTTTCATGCACGAGTGGACATACTGACAAAAACTCAGAACTCAACTTTCAGTATTTAATTTTTAAAGAATTTTTTTGAATTTTCATTCCATAAAATACCTTGATCAAGGTATTTTAAATACCTTAATAAAGCTATATAGCTTTATCAAGCTATATACCTTTATCGGGGTATTGTGCTTGACCTGATACAGGGGTCCCGGGTTCGATTCCCCTTCCAGCCACAAGTTTTCATCGTGCATTTCTCCTTTCCTACTACATTTGGTGCTGTGCCATGCCCTTGAACTGACAGGTAAAAGACCTGCCAGGGATGAGCCGGAGTTGGGGTCTAAAGACCTTTAAGGAGGGAGGAATGTGGCGGTCAGCTGAGTTCGATTGCCGGTGGCCAGATAGCTCAGTTGGTAGAGCACCTGACCGGAGTTTCATGGGGCCTGGGTTCAAATCCCGGTCTGGTCCCCTGCATTTTCTCCTCTTTATTTATTCATCAATCTCATACAATTATATACATTAAAACCTATTTTATAGCAGAAGTACAAGAGAACCAGGCAGTAACAAAGATGAAAGATGCTGTTGCTGAAAGATCCAGTCAAGCACTAAACTGACATTGAATGATCAGCCTCCTTAAAATTGCAAATCAAATACAGGTATGGAATTGATGCAACAGAATAAGTTCTAGGACATATATATATAGAATTTATTTTCATAAGACATAGTATATCAAAATATTACAAAAAGGTCATGGATGTCCAGTAATGCATTACCCTCATATTAAAAATCACAGACTCAGAAATTTGATGAAGTTTAAAAAAAAAATTGAAGTGTTAATAAAATGATTACTAATGGTAGGGCAGATTTTAATGGGTAAGGTTGAGTACGTCATGATCAAACGAATCATGTTGTTATTGTTGGCCTTAGTAGGGGCACTCTAGATATGAAAATACAGTGTGTAAAACAAATATTTTTAAATAATTTTTTTTTATGAAAAGGTCTTTGACATTTTTTGGTATAAAAAGGAAAATTTCAGTCTGTTTTTCTTGTAAAAATATTGATAAAATTTAATGAAGAAGGTTAAGATTTGTATTAAATATCCAATAAATGGATATTTACCAGATTTATAACTCATTACACCTAAATTATCAGTAATGCATACTGGAACAACTGTGCAATAATTCGAATGACATTTTACAGAAGTTTGCTAAATTACAGGTTTTTGTCAGCTTATCTGGAAATCTTAGGACATCACTGATTTGATCAAGAACTCATCCAGCGTGAAGACCAGCCATGTGCCTCACTTGTCATGACATTATTAAAGGTAAGTAACCTTATCAGCAAAGAATTGACAAGCAAATCCTTCCAAAGATTTTCATTTAAGATATTTATTTAATTGGTAGTTTTAATACCGTGTAAGTGTAATTTATAAAATTAGTAATCTTTTAAAAATCGCTACAATTACTTCTCGCTAAATAGAAAATACTAAATTTTAAGGACAAATCATTAAAGAAGATGGGCGCATTTGGCGGGTGATCTGCAGGAATCATTTGTACGAAACATTTATGGTTTAAATGTCCATGATTTGGTTGGCTGAACATACCTGGTCAGATTTTAGAAACACGTCCATGGGTTATTTTTTTTTTCATTTAGTTTGAAAGACATTGTGAAATTGTAACATTTATGTCCATTTTTTTCTAGGGGGTACTATAACATAGTAATGTTTCACAAAAAAATTAAACCTAAAATATTTAATGCATAGATGCATGATACATGTACATTATTAAAATAGAAGATTAGAATTGATTTCGCTTGAGAACCAAACTGAACCAAAATTTATCTAATTCAAAATTTTAATACATCAGTACATAAAACGAAACTGACAAAATAAATGGTTGTTTGCCTGAATAAAAAAAATTAAAAAATTAACGCCCCATGCCAGGCTCGAACCAAAAACTTTTCGCTTCAAGTGCACTGAACATGTAGCCTAATTAACTGAGCTATCACCGCTACACAAGTACAAACGTCTTAAAAAGGACAAAGACGCACCACATTGACACATTTGGATTTTTTGGGGAAAAGTTCATTTTTCGTGGTCTCTGGGTCTTCTCTCCATTTTTTAAAAAAGTGAATTCGTTTCTTTGCATTAAAATACACACAAATAACGTTTCAAAATCATGGAGAGAAGACCCAGACGTACAAAATTTTTAGAAAAATGTGTTTAAAAAAGTACCATTTTGTACCAAATGTCTGATATGGCCAATTTTCAAGTTATTTTTCAGCAAATCAAAGCTCAATTTCGGGAAAATATTTTCCGTTCCTGTTGCACAGGAACCCGATAAATTAAAAAAATGTTAAAATTTCATGTGACATGTCAATAAAATTTTCACTTTTCAAGTACGCCCAGGTTCCTGCCGAATGCCAATCAAAAGCGCCCTCGTTCTTTGCATTATGATCTTGATTTCCACTTGTACAATATTTTAATTTCTGTAAAAATTTTTTTTTACATTTTATAAAAACAAAAAATATATTTTCAAATCAAAATCATTTTATTTCAGCACTTTGTGACAGTGGGAAGATGGGATTTAAAACATGACATGGCTCTATATTATTGCATCAAAGACCAATCCAGGTTTACGTATAAAGTGAAGGAAAACAGTCAAGCATCATTTGGAGCCACGTGTACATATGTAACCGCCTAGGCGCCTTCACAATATGTCCTCTTATTTAAGAAATCACAGTGACCAGTTGTACCTATGATGTCGGACGAGATCCTGATAAAAACTTCTGTTGCACTCATCACTAACTGCAAAGAAATGAAAACTTTAAATGACTTGTATCAACACTTTTGTACTACATCAAGCTTGTATTTTCAGATCTTGTTAGCCTTTATTTTCCTTCAAACAAAATTTTATAAGTACTAACCTTCAGGTGTAAAATGTTTGAAACAATATACTTGTCTCAGAAGAAAATTCTCTGCCATTTAGTAGTGTCATGAGCAGTTGATTCACTTGATTGAGGTCACAATTCCACCGGCAAAGATTACATTGGGTATTTGTAGCTGAATGGTGCCAAATAAAACACTTTTCACAAGAACCTGGCAAATGTATTAAAGTGGAAGTGAGCATCTACACAAAAAATGAATACTTTCTCAAATATTAATAGCGATATATTATGCCTGTGTACATCCTAAATATATATGGATATATAACTAATAACACAAGTAACTAGCAAATATACAATGTCAACTTCCTTAAATTTTTTCTCAAGTTCATGTATTGTGTATCAAAATAAACATGCAATATTTGTCTTGTTACACTGAAGTATTTTTAAGAAAATGTCATTCGTTGAAACAAGTTTGCGAACATTCTGCACAGCTAGCTATTTTTATGGAGAAGTTCATTTCATTTCATGTACATCTACATGTATCGACATGCATTTTGAATCATAGGGATGTAATGTTAGGCACACCGAAGGAGAAAAGTAATTGTTAACAAATGTTTTTTACCAATCAAATTTGATATTTAATTTGAAAGTATGTGTCAAACATTTAGTATTATGGTTCATTCAACTTAATTTATTTATCATTGTATGTGAGCTTTCCTGAATTGGATAAGTAAATTAACTAGTAGGTTTGATAATGAAGAGAGAAAAAAGAACAGCCCAAAATACAAAAGAAAATAAATTCCATCATTAACTACTTGGAAGTTGTCACACTCTTCATGAGTATAAGAATTATGAGAAATACTATACATAATGTAAACATATTACATTTAGCCATATATTTTATTTAATGGAAAACATAGTCCGCCTATCCAAGTACATCACTAAATGTCTTGTATGTGAATTTAATAACTAGCACATTCAGATATCTAATAGAATGATAACTTGTTGAAAATTGAATTTCCACCAAATATTATACACACCAAATGTAATACATTTACAGTATGTATGCCTCATGAACAGAACAAATTAATACCGGTATATGGATGACACATTCAGTCGAAGTGTTGTCTCTTTTTCCATATCTGCTGGATCCCTATAAAATATGATGACAAATGTAGATCAAATGTTCTATCGTTGAAGTATGAATGTCCTTTGGACCCAGTCATTGCCTTTTTGGAGACAAAGTAAGATTTATCTATCTGACAAATGAATTCATTAAAAATATTCCTATTTCTAATTCCTATTTTAAGAAAGAAAAAAAGTCTGTCTCATAATTGTAAGAGTATTCAAGAAGGGAGTCATAATACAAGTTATATTGAAATTGAATATATATAGTGTATACATCCCTGTTTACATGAAAGAATATTTGACATTTTTATTTCTGGATAGATTACATAACAAGTAAATCTATTTATTTCTACTGTAATACAAGTATAATACATAGGCTTATGCCCCCCTTTTTATTGCAAATCTATACATAATATAGCATTGATAATTGGTGTATACCTTTATTTTGTTGGTAATGCCCCCCCCCCCCCATTCTATGTACCCGTCCCGTGTGCTAAATAAATGAAATAAATTTAAGAAACCAATCTTTAGGGAACGTTTTTGTTTGGAAACACATTATTCCAGCTTTAAAAATATTTTAATTTTCCTTTATACTTTAAAATGTTCGCCAACCACAATGCTAATCGTGACCCATTCGGAATGGCTTGTATGTACGTCGTTTATTAAAACAATACAGCAGTTAAACGCTTTTTACCTGTATCAATCAATCCATTATATCCTCTTCTTTTCAATAATCAGGAAACCAACGGCATGACAGGCTCTGCTAGTCCACCGCAAGGCTTAAAACTAAATGCCATGCGGTAATTCATTGTCTCCAAGAACGCGCAAGTACCCGGAAGTTAGAAAACGAAAGTGAAAGTTAACGAGACTTACAGACCCTATAGTTCTATTGCACACTAAAACGTCACGTCGAGTCAAAGGTCATAGGGGAAAAAAATTTACATCCGGGTTCTTATGCTTGTAAACACATGATAATCATCGAACGAAGACAGTTTATTATACCCGCTTGTAACACATTAATTAAGCACGGAAATTGAAAAAAAAAATAGCAGTCAGATAAAATATGTTCTAAGGTTACTATCAACAGTTCAAGATTATAAAGCTTCATTCAGTTTCTTAAATTTGAGCTTGTGAAATAGGTGAGTGGAACGTAACGAAATTGTCTGCTCTCTACTTTCACTTTGCTTTTTTCTCTCTCACACTTGTTACGAATTTGATAACTACAGATCCTGTAATGCAAAAAGTGATTTTTTGCGCATTATTTGGAAAAATTTCCAACCTTTGTAAATTTTATACACCTTTTAACCCTTAATAATCAAATTAAACATCTATGTACAAGTGATAAACTCGCTTGAATTCGAATTTTCAGTAATCTCTCACTGAGCTCAGACAATTCAAATCAAGCCAGTTTATCGCTTGTAGAGGCGAATATAAATTGTTAAGATGTGGATAAAATAAACAAGTTGGTTTAAGAATGTATCTGTAATTAGGGGGTGAAAGGTAAATGATTTACCATTAAAGTTGAAAAGTGGAGAAATTCTCCCAAATACTGCGCAAAAAATCCTGCACTGTAAATTGCACATTTTTTGCATTACGTGATCAGTAGCGTGATGGTCAAAGACTAATATATAAAACCATAACACTACAGTTCTGCATCTAGGACTTTGATTTTTATGCCACAAGCATAATTCATGTATAAGTTTTTACATCACTACACTGCAAAATTCCATGCATCACTCCAGTAGGGATGATCAATTTTGTGTTGAACTGTTGGGGAGGTGAAGCTATAGCTGCAATAATGTAGTCCTCTCCAATTTTTTTTATCGCTGCCCACCAAAAGGGAGAGGGCTACATTATTGCAGCTTGTAGAGCTGTAGTGGAAATTGTATAGCAGCTATAGTGAAAATGTATAGCAATGAACTCTGGCTTCTTTGATTTGATAGAACCTCACGATAGTGTCATGGCTGACAAAGGGTTCAGTGATGTTATGGAAGAGCTAAATCTTTCTCATGCAAATTTGCTTGTTCCACCAGGAAGGCATGGTATTGCAAAGATGACTGCATATGATGTTCAGAAAACAGATGAAATAGCAAATGGAAGAATATATGTAGAACAAGCCAAAAGACAATTAATTCTTTCGCTTATTGAAATATGAAATTCCAGTTACAATTTGTCAACATTTATGCGATACACTCAAAATTGCCAGAGGAATATGCAATCTTTTATCCACCCCTTCCTAGGTATGATTAAAATGGTAAAAAAAAATAAGCTATGAGGAATTTTTTCTCTTCGGAAACATTTATATTTTAAAATTTTGCTATAACAAACATGAAATCAGTATATGACAATGCTTTAATATATACATTACACATTTGTCAATACATTGTTGACATTGTTAATGTCATTCTCAGAAAGTTCACATTTTATGGTACTTATGTCTAAAGGTACTACACACTAAATATTACAAATAATCTTTTTCCTCAAATTCAGTTTGAAATATCGCCAATCAGACCCATGTAAGAAGATTGTGAAATCAGACATTCGACCTGAGAATGTGTATTTTTTTTAAATTAACAGTCAATCTATTACAAACTTGTGTGATACTGTTTATAAAGGCAACCCTTTGTTACTTAATTTCAGTAAAATACAGGTATATTAATAGCAGTTTATTTGAGACAAATATTATGTAAAAATAAAACATATATAGCCCAAAAATGGAAAATTCACAGGTAAATATGCATATTAACCACAATAAAAAATGTAGACTCCAACTATTTGAAGATTAACCTTTAGTACTGTTACTTATATAATGGTAAAGGGATGGATCTTGATGCTAGTGTCAGACTGTTCAAATGATGACAACATAGATTTCATGTAGTATTGTTGGACGTCAATCTGTAAGCAATCCTCCTCAATCATATCTGCTCCAGAAGCATGTGATTCCTTACCCTTGGCTTTGTGAGGTGGATCAACATCTAGACCTTTAATGAAATTTAACAAATTAATTAATTTAACTGATTAACTTAATATAAAAAGCTTAAGAATAAGTTCAAATAGTTGTTGATTCATCCTGCTGGTTTTTATTTTATTATTCACTGAGGAACCTTGATGATTGAGATGAATTATTCAAATTTGGGGTAGAGATTTCTATCAATGGTGAAAAAATAGAACTTTCGACATGATCATCATGATTAATAAATATATATATATGATGTGATACAGATTGAATTGTAATCTGTTACCTTTAAATAAACAAGCATCGGGTAAGGTTTCTCTAAATGCATCTGAATAGGTTGCTTAAAAGTTGTCCTCCTCACTATCCTTAATCCTGCAATATGATTGGTACATGTTTGTCCAAACCTATATTTGAGAGCAGAAGAAAGCATTAATTAAAAATACAGTTTTACAAGAAGAAGGATCCAAACTTGAAAGTAATTTTGAATTATTTATAATAGTTTTAAAATATTGATGGAGATTCAGTGGGATAAAGAGCTATTGACCATTTAACCCCATTGCAAGGTAAACTCAAAAGTACTGAATGTATTGTACATGTCATATTATTACGCATTCAACTATCATTTGAGAAACAAAAATATACATTTATTTCCAGCAAATCACTATGTCTTTGAGTAGTTAAAACACACAGATGGTCAATATCAATTTTAACATGTATGAACTGAATTGAACCTGTACTTTAACATGTTATAAGAGAAAAAAATATATAACTCTACTGGTATTTCAATCCTGAGGAAATAATAAGCAATAATAGCGAGGTGGTGCAAAGCACCACCATATGTCATGCTCACCATGCTGTTCAAGTACAGAAGGCAGACTTAACTTCCCCCGTGTCTTTAACACAACACAGCACATCAAGTCCACATAGATAGAACGTTCTATTGTTAAAATGATATTGTCCTACGCACCCGATGTGGTGAGGTCTTGTACAGAGAAACAGTTATATTAATTTAACTACAAACTTACACTGTATGAGGCTCAGAACACAGGCTCTGTGAGGGGTACATGCGGCACACAGAAAGCAATATGGACTGGTTCTGTCAATAGGGTGGTAAAACACTTCTTTCAGTGACAGTCACTGGCTCTGGAAGTACTGGTGCCCTTCCCAACTTTATACCGGTTCAAATGTTTCTTTGCCCTCTTTCTCTGTCTCATACCTTACCAAAATAATCACTCATATGAAATTATGTGCACAAGGTATATATCTTCAGAAGTGATGGGAAAGCAAATGAAACCATAATAAAGCTTGATTACTGATCATACTGTTGGATATTCCAGCTCATTAAATTTATACTTGCTACAAAACCATCTTGATAGTCACATACTGTATTTCTGTATTAAGTGTATTCATAGTCAAAGTTGATATATATCTTTTTTGTAATGTCTTTAAATAATTTTTATTTACTGGATATATACCTCATTAAAAACACTGTTAAATCGGTGATGAAAGTTGATGCCCAATTCTCCATTCCAAGCTTTTAATCTTGCCAGGCAGTTTTCACACACTGATACAGGCCCTAATGTTAACTCGCGAAGCTCATACAGCCAGGTTATGTTTACATTGGTTTATTGATAAAACTGCCGAGTCCTCATGTATGGAACGCCATAGCTGCCTTATGTGGCTATTTTATATTATGCTGTGGTTATTTTATATGAAGATGGTGCTCTTTTATATTATGCTGTGTTTATTTTATATGAAGATGGTGCTCTTTTATATTATGCTGTGCTTATTTTATATGAAGATGGTGGTCTATTATATTATGCTGTGGTTATTTTATATGAAGATGGTGCTCTTTTATATTATGCTGTGGTTATTTTATATGAAGATGGTGCTCTTTTATATTATGCTGTGGTTATTTTATATGAAGATGGTGCTCTTTTATATTATGCTGTGGTTATTTTATACGAAGTGGTGCTCTATTATATTATGCTGTGCTTATTTTATATGAAGATGGTGCTCTTTTATGCTGTGCTTATTTTATACGAAGATGGTGCTCTATTATATTATGCTGTGGTTTTTTAATATGGAGGTGGTGCTTTATTATATTATGCTGTGGTTAATTCGATACTGAGTTTATCAGCTATTATCTCGAAATGTTGAAAGTAAAACAAATACTAGTGCTAGTAATTGATGTAATTAAAATCATTCAAATACACTATGACTATCGCTAATTCCTCTTTTTCCATCAGTTATGCACTTGTTTTCAGGTTGGTGTATTTTGTGTATTCATGTTTTCCTAGGTGCACGTGTCTAAGATTAGCACGTTTCAAAAATGTCGTTTTACTGTATATAGGTACAACATTTGCCATTTTCGGAAAATCTAAAGGGATTTGTTGTCTCTGTCATTCTGGGACGCCTCAACATTCTACATATTTAAAATCGTCACTTCCATTGCTATCATTTGCAGTGCTAAATATCAAGAAGTTTTTGTTTAATGCATATTTTATAAGACAAGTTCAATTTGATAGAGGATTGAAGGGCGTTATTTTAGGATTTTTAAATGTAGATTTCACCCGAAATTATGTCCAAAACTGGTAGGAAAAGTGAAGATATTGATTAAAATCAAGAGTGAGCCGAGACCGGCACCTAGTAAAGGCAAAATCTACATTTAAAATCCTTAAAAAATCCTATGTATTTGAAAAGAAAACCCACCATCACATGAAATAACAACAGCACAATATAATAAAGCACCACCTCCATATTAAAAAACCACAGCATAATATAATAGAGCACCATCTTCGTATAAAATAACCACAGCATAATAGAGCACCATCTTCATATAAAATAAGCACAGCATAATATAAAAGAGCACCATCTTCATATAAAATAAGCACAGCATAATATAAAAGAGCACCATCTTCATATAAAATAAGCACAGCATAATATAATAGACCACCACCTTCATATAAAATAAGCACAGCATAATATAATAGACCACCACCTTCATATAAAATAAGCACAGCATAATATAAAAGAGCACCATCTTCATATAAAATAAGCACAGCATATTATAAAAGAGCACCATCTTCATATAAAATAAGCACAGCATAATATAAAAGAGCACCATCTTCATATAAAATAACCACAGCATAATATAAAATAACCACAGCATAATATAAAATAGCCACATAAGGCAGCTATGGCATTCCATACTCATGGTCCTGTAATTCAGTCTTGTCCTCTGTGTCCATGATGTGGAAAAATTGAGTCAATATATGTGTGTAAAACGTATCAAAAGTCCAGTAAAATATCGAAAAAGGTAACAGAAATTCGCAACATCAACAAGTGGCATCCATATTGTTTACGCTGTTTTTTCCCCTATGACCTTTGACACGCATACATAAATAGGTAAATCAATATGGCGGCTCTCTGTGTGCAATAGAACTAGTCCTAATGATGGAATTCAGAACTTTATTTTAATAAGGATTAATTCACGCAAGTATTTAAATCAGTCGGATTGATTTGGCGTGTGTGAATTATTCCATTAACATCACAAAATGTCCAATTGGAATTCTGCAGTCAGTGTCTGAAGGGAGTATGACTAAAATGGGTAGCGAAACCCGGGCCGGGCCGGGATTTTCGATAACGAAAACCGGGTTTTTGATAATCTCGAAATAAATACTCATTCTTTCTTCATGAAATTTACGGATATAGTTTATTATTCTAGGATTGGCCTTCGCTGAAAGTTTTAGGTCAAAATGTTGTGTTTTTAAACGATAATCACCGATTGTCCTTTTCCAAGTGACTAAAATGGGTAGCGAGCCCTGATTACTCATTTGCGCGATTTAAACTTAATTTCGGCAGCATATTTACAATTATTTCATTTGGGTCTTTGAAATTGAACTTAAACTACCTAAAACATTTAACTGTTGCAATAATATATCACGATTATTGAAAATACACGCATTTTTGTGTACCCGGGATTGGTCAAAACCGGATACGTTCACCCGGGAAACACCTTTTATTTCCGCAATACTTATCAGATAATGACATATAATTTAATCTAAATGACTCTTTTCTGCTTTAAAAATTTATATTATTTTTTCTAATTTATTTCTTAGATGTATCTCGGTCAGGGACTGAAAAAAAATCTACATCTTTTTCTGGCAATCCGAAATTATATAATTTGTCCCGGGCGAACGCGTCCGGTTTTGACCCGTCCCGGGTCTATGAAAAATGACAAAACCCCTCATAATTGACATTTCATTTCATAATGATTGAACAATTAAAGTACTTGAAGTTAATAAACAACCATTTAATGCAAATATCACAAACACTTTCGATGCATTCAGCTTAAAATCGCCAAAATGAGTAAACTGGGCTCGCTACCCATTTTAGTCACCTGGAAAAGGACAATCGGCGATAATTATCTAAAAACGAAACATTTTGACTTAAATTTCTCAGCAAAGGCAAAACCTATACTTATAACCTATTTCTGTAAATTTCATGAAGAAAGAATGAGTATTTATCTCGTAATTATTAAAAACCCGGATCTCAGTTTTGAAATTCCCGGCCCGGCCCGGGTTTCGCTACCCATTTTAGTCACACTCGTCTGAAGGAATTAGTTTTGGGAATGCCTAATTGAAGACCTACAGGTAATTGAAGACCTACAGAAGACCTACGGAAGACCTACAAAAATGGGGGATATATACAGCAAAACCGATATAATATTCTGATTAAGCATGCTCTAAATATATAAAATACACAAAAAAAGTTTTATAAAAAGAAGTTTTAAAGTGTATTTTTTACGCTCGGTAAGGGGAACTATTTCTTCTCTCAGAAGACCTACAGCAAGAACGATAACTCGCGTAAATAACAAATCAGCTGTTCACCAAAACATATCAAGAAAATGTAATTATCAGAAAAATGTAAATAAAAAATAATGTTAAAGGACGGAAAAAAATCATTGGAGATACTTTATATATACATACATCAAAGATAAAAAAAATAATAATAATAAAATGCAATATTCAGTCAGAAACAATTCTATTTTGTTAAAAAAAAAAAAAAAATTAGTTATTAAAATCAGTAAAATTGTAAACACTGTACATAATTTATAATACCATTATATATTATGTCAATCATAAAATCATTATAAATACATTCCCTTGTATATACGTTATATTTAGTATTTTACATGTGTTTATATAAAAAGATCAATAATATTTAGTTCAGGTTTCAATTGTTGATCATTAATAAAAATTCATAAATGATTTGTGTTCTTGTTATTAATAATAGCTAGTAATGTCATTTATAACATCTGGAAAATTTTATAAGATTTGCATTTATGTAGACAATGAAAATTTTAAAATTGCAGTTAAAAGAATTTGAAGTAATTTTTCAAGAAGAACACAGACATAATCACTTTCAAAAATCTTATTTCCCCCGAGTCAAAGCATCATATATTTTTTTTAAAAATATGCATGCATTTCTTATGTGTGATAACATGCGTGTTTATTATTTTTTTCAATTTTAAAAAGTGTGTATTTTCTTTTCTTTTCATTTAATTATTGAATGGTACACCCGGTACATGTGTATCTTCAAGATTGATATAATGTACATGTATATTTTGGCTCAAAATGTAAAAGAAATAAAACCTAATGTTTCATATTATAGTGCCTATATCTTTGCATACAGCATGTTATCTGGAAATAGACATTTAATTAAGTTATTTAATATTCCTCGTGAATGTCATATAAATGTGTTATATTGAAAAAAGATGACCATTTTGAATATTAAAAAAAAATTCAAAACGTAATTAATTTTAGTAAGCTATATTCTGAATAAATGCACAATAATTTTATTTGTTTATTCTTGCTAGCATTTTTAAGGTATAAAATAAATATTTTTTTTTTTTTTATATCTTTGCTCTGTTGACTGCAAATTAACATTCATCAGAGCAAGTGGGGTGTGTTGATAATTGCAATCAAAACACGGATATATCCTCAGGGTGTCTGTGTATACAACAAATTAGTGAAGATCGAAGCCCTCAGTACAGAGACAAATCCACAGCATACATATCAATAATTTGAACTTGAATATTTAATATTTATCCCATAAAACATATTAAAAGAATTACAATATTTATTAACTATAGATTTCAAGTAGAATATTAATTTGATAAATGAAATAATCATGATAATTATTTATATTTTTAACTTCATCAAAATTCATCATCCAGCTGATTTCTTTATCATAATTCATAATTGAAAAACTCAACAAAATCACTTGCATTTTTTTATTATGCCATATACATATATAATTCTTCCTATAAACTTCACAATATAAATGAGCGTGTTGTTGTTTACAAGACAAGTCAGCCAGAGTTATCGTTCTTTCCGTAGGTCGTCTAAGAGAAGAAATAGTTCCCCTTACCGAGCTTAAAAAATACACATTAAAACTTCTTTTTATAAAACTTTTTTGTGTATTTTACATATTTAGGACATGCTTAACCAGAATATCATATCAGTTTTGCTGTATATATCCCCCATTTTTGTA